AAGACGGTTTCATCCACGACACCTTCCTCCACCTGCTTCTCCTGTTATTTTTTTCTTTCAAATGTCCTCTTGCTATTGTTGAATAAACATGTACTATTCCGTCGGTTGAGCTGGCATCGCATCGTGTGAGCGGCTCGTTGTTATTGTTTTTTTTAAAGAAAACATGCACTTTATTGATTGGAAATCATGCTTACATCGTCTATAAAAAGAGGTACAATATTCTCCATAGGCTTCTCAAACCAATCTCTATTACAGAAACTTTCGCTAGCCTAGCAAGTTCATGAGCAACCTTATTAGCTATCCTATTACAATGTTTAAATCTAGTTAACGAAAAATCACATGCCATGAAGTAGCAATCCTCGAAAACTGCCGCCGCAACTCCCGCCGATTGTCCTCCATTTTTCATTGTGTCAATGACTTTCATATTATCAGAGTTAATAATAAGACGATTGCATCCCGCCTTTTGTGCAAGAATTAAACCAAACCTCAGAGCCATCGCTTCTGCTGTTAGTACATCAGCACACCAATCGATCTTCCCATTTCCGTCAACAATGAATTTTCCTTTGTCATCTCTGAGTACAGCACCTACCGTGCCCCTGAGCAGATCATGGTCAAAAGAAGCATCAACATTTAGTTTAACAAAACCCATAGGAGGTCGGCTCCATCCTTCTCTTCTACTAGACGCACTAGGGGAGTGGGCATTCACATAGTTTGCCGTTATAGCACGAACCCCCATCGAAATCTGGTTCACATCTTGAAACTTCCCTTCATGAACCAACATGCGTCTCTCCCACCATAAATACCAAGCGGTTATCGCGATTAATTCACTTGCATTCTGGCATCCTAATATAGATAGTTCTTGGTGTAGCATAAGAAGTAAGAATTCAAGAACAGCCTCACCCGCACGATCAATAACACAAGCTTTCTTAATTACCTCGTACATCCCTAGCTTACCCCAAACTTCTTTTGCCTTTTCACACAAAAACAAGATGTGTTTTGTATCTTCTTGCCCATTTGAGCATGATGGACAAAGGGGCGAAACTTTCATATGTCTATTGGCAAGTGTAACACGACACGGTAGAGTTCCATGCAACGTTCGTCAGATAAATATTTTTACCTTTGCCGGACACGATAATTTCCAAATCTTCCCCCAAATAGGATTGACATTGGTACGATCCATACCATTAGTACATTGCAATTTCCTCCCGTGTTGTTGGTTCCATTCCTCCGAATAAGCTGATCGAACAGTGAATACACCATTTTTTTGTATAGCTCCAGGCAATGAAATCTGACATATTATGCATAGTAAGGGAAATCGCGAGGACCCTTTGCACATCAATTGGCCATAAAATTTGTCTCACCAAATCTTCATCCCAAGAATTCATGATTGGATCAATAAGATCAGCCACCTTTGACAGAAGTTGCCCACCTCTAGGAGTAATATTTTTCCTACTCGCACAATTCGGAATCCATGCATCTCTCCAAATATCAATGTTTTGTCCATTTCCAACTCCCAGATATAACCATTTCTCAAAGAGTTCACTCCCGCCATAATGCTTTGCCAAGTAAACGAAGATCCCTTCTTTAACCTTGCGTTCATCAAATCTCCCTCAGGGAAATATTTAACTCTCAATATGGTTGCACATCAAGAAGACGCCATGCTTGTTTAGCTAATAGAGCAAGGTTGAAATAGTGTATATCTCGGAAGCCCATACCTTCTTGATCTTTTGGAACACACATTTTCCACCATGCCATCCAATGCATCCTCTTCTGATTGTCCTCGTCACCCCACCAAAATTGCGACATCGCATCAATAATTCCTTTGCAGATTTTTTTAAGAATTTTAAAAACGGACATGGCATAGGTGGGGATGGCTTGTACAACAGATTTGAGTAAAATTTCCTTCCCTCCAAAGGATAACAATTTTTCCTTCCATCCACTAATTTCATAATAATTCGATCGATCAGGAACTGGAAACAGTCACTTTTGTCCATGCCCACATTTGCCGGCAAACCCAAGTATTTGTCATTGAGGGCTTTGGTCATAATATTTAGAATTGTACATATTTGTGCCTTGTCTTTCACTTTAGTATTGGGACTAAAGAATATACTAGATTTTTCAACACTAACCAGTTGCTCGTTGTTATGTTAATCCTACGCGCTCTGCTGCTATTCTACTTCTACATACGATGCTCGCACATGCGGCCAGCCGAGGGCACCATGCATGGGTGATCAACAGCGATTTTTTCATCCTGCTCTTGTCCTTGCAACGAGGGAATCAGATCACATATAATGATACAATGGCTACATTCCAAGTTCCAAAACTACAAAAAAACAAGGCCAAAAATACCTACCATGCTAATATCGAGGAGATAATGGATCAGATCAGACACGGCCACGCTGCTGCAGGTGCGTGAAGAGCGTAGCCATCGTCGGAACAGTGGCCTGGAAGGATGGGCCAGTGCATTCGGACATTGGCACGCGATCAAACCAAGCTTGGTTAGGCCTAGACAGCGGATCCTACTCTCGACGAGAATACGGTCAAACAGACAAGCCGCCCCCGGACAAGGGCGGCCGTACGTCGGAATCGCTGCTCGACAGCGGACCGACAGACATGACGTCGAGCACGTAGAGGGCACAATGATCTGGTCTCAAATTAAGACATCCTCTTTGATTAACATCAGAGAGAAGAGAGATTCCCTTCCCTGTGGAAGGATGTACTAATAGTGCTACGTGTGTTCTTAAGAAGCCATAAGGGAAGTATGATCCTTAAAATCTTGGCACTTGGCACTTGGCAGTATCATACAGCTACAAAGTAGGAGTACAATGCAAGCAGGAGTGAAAGAAGACTCCCTACCAACAAGTACCTATACATGAGGAAGGTCACGGGCCTTGCTGTCTTGGAAAGGGCACGCAAGAAGCAATGCACCCGCATCGCCAACACTAAAATTTTCCATATCTTAGGGTCAATGCGAGACGACGCAAAAACTACACCCGTCGGCTAAAGCACAACGACAGTTGGCTAATCGGCCGCTTGGAGAAGGAAACAATTGTCCATGATCGTTATAACAATGTCATTGGTAGAGGTCGTGCGAGAACCCAAGATTTTAATTGGGAGGATCTGAATTTAGTGCGCACCGACTAAGAGGGCGCCTATGATCCATTCACCGAGGAGGCCAAGAGCACCATTGACCAAATGCATGCCGAGTGCCAAGACACGCGACCGGGAAGGCTTCACCTTTGCTTTGTTTAGGAGTTGTTGGAACATCATTAATGTGAAGGTCATGAATGTGATTCATAATTTTATCAACCTACACGTTGCAAACTTACATTGGCCCGACTCCACATATATTGCGCTCTTGCCTCAGATCGATGGGGCGGAAGACATCACCGAGTTTAGACCCACTAGTCTCATCCATACCATCGCCGTGATGCTTGCCACTTGGCTTTTCCCCCTTATGAACGACCTCGTCTCCAACACACCAAGTTCCTTAATTAAGAGGAGAAGATCCATGATAGTGTATGTTAGGAACCTTGCCCGCTGGCTTCACAAAAATAGGACCCCAAAACTTCTCTTCAAGCTTGACATTCCGAAAGCATCTGATTCGGTGCGTTGGGGCTACATTCTTGGCATTCTTCAAAGGAAAGACTTCCCTAGGACATTTCATGATTGGATCACAACCCTTCTTCGCATCTCCTCTTTGAGTGTCCTCCTCAATGGGGTTCCCGGTCCGCCATTGCTCACACCTGAGGACTGAGGTAGTGTGAACCGATGTCTCCGCTACTCTTTGTCATTGCCATTGACCAGCTTCAGGCTCCTTCAACAAATCCTTGACTTGGCCATGAGGCTTGGCCTTCTTAAAACATTAGGGGTCGCAGAACCATCTTCTAGAGCTCGCACTATGCAGATGATGCAGCTTTTTTGTGGCACCATTTAAGGAGGACATCCAAAACCATGCACGCATAGTATAGGGATGCTGTGAGATGAAGGGGTGTAAACAAACTTCCACTCGGTGGTGCCCATTCAGCGTAGCCACTTGGATTTGGATCTCATCTCCAAGGGGCTGCCTGCCATGAGATCCTCCTTCCCAATGGGATAGTTGGGCCTCCCACTATCTGTTTGGCAGCTTAGGCGGGTCGATTTTTCAATACCTTGAGGACAAAATTGTAAATAAGTTGTGCCTTGGGAGGGCATGCATATCACCTCGTGGGCCACGGTGCACTTGATAAGTCGATCATCACCTCGCAAGCCATCCACCACCTAACGCCTCTAGTCGCCCCTCTCCACACCCATCCTCAAGAGCATGACCAAGACTGAGTGCGCCTTCGTTTAGTCGGGGACCGATAAGTGCATGGTAAATTGGGAAAACGTTTGCCGTCCAACCAGGGTCTTGAAGTGCTGCATCATGACACATTTGGTGGAGCTCTCCGCTTGAGATGACATTGGTACAGATGGCATGACCTCTCGAACATTTGGGTTGGTTCAGGCAACCCTTGTGATGAATATTGTATGGATCTTTTCTATTCCCTCACCACCACCACTGTTGGTAATGGAGAAAGGAATCCGTTTGGGGATGCCCCGTGGTTGAATGGTATAGGAAGCCTAAATAGCTTGTATTTCCATATAAAAAATATAGATAGTCATGCATCCATTCTTTGGATGTAACTCCAGTCCATTATTGATAAATATTGATGTATAAATGGATGTATATCCACATGAAAAGATAGGTACCAAGCAATCATTAATTGTATGTAAAACAAGTCCATAGTAAATGAACATTGATTGAATAATTAATTTATATCCATATTCCGAAAGAATGGTGCACTGGATGACTACTTGTTAAATGTTGAGTGAATCATTAATACGATGCCATTTAAAGCTTTCCAAAATAAGAACGGGGCTCAACTCTATATAAGTTGTGTTCTCCAAACAATATACAAGTTCATAAGGAAACACATAGTTACGTGCTTCATCGGAAGGAACACAACTCCTATATACAAATGGGTGGTGATTATGTTCCCATATTGGTCTTACTGTGTTTTTTGTTTAGACCTTGCTACCCCACCTTGGTTGAATCAATAGACATGGATGGAAATCTACAGAAGAATGAGAAGGTAAGAAACATCTTACTTTACATGTTTACACATACAATTCTTTGTGGGGTGGTTTATGCATTTATCCAATTCTTGCATCTATCTGAGTAGTTAATCTTGACAATTACTATTGGTTGCAATCATTAGTAATGACTCTACATTACTGATGTTCCCAACTAAAAGTTTAGGACACCACAAGTAGAAACTAATACTTATATCTTTTGGAGACTTTGTATGTCAATTATATATGTTGACTAACCATGCACTAACATTTCCAATGCAGAACACCACTCATTTAAGTCCTAAACACTTTCAATTTCCGTGGAGAGCTGATTTCACAGATGAGGGGAGCAATATTATTTCTCATGTACACTTTCTCACTCTTTCTTTTCCCCTCTATGGACATACCATTATCTACTTTTTCATGTGTTAGATTTCAGATGTTTGTTGGTTTCTTTCTGACCATTGACCATCATAAAAATCATAATGTATGCCATGATGGCGTGCGATAAATATAAAAGGCAAATTCAAAGGTAGTTCTCAACATGAGCATCACAACTTTAAATCATAGAGAAGAAACAATAGAAATCCACATTCATTAATGATCCACCTAAATCATAGTTTGTCAAGGTTAATTATGGTCGGTGGTCAGAGAAACAAGCTGGTACATAATTGACAACCTAAAAAGGCATACACCTAAATGAACTAGGCTTGAAGGCCTACATATAGGGCACAGAAGTGATGAGCATTGTAAACAAGACATGCTACCAGAACACAAAAGACAAATAGATTAAGAAAGGAACAAAGCCATACTCTATTTGAGACTTATCCTCACATGCCAACACTCTACTAGAAATATGCTTCACACCTATCACACAAGTATATATAGATAGAGAGAGAGGGAGATGGATAGAGAGAAAGAGTCAAATTTGGTTTTACCACTGCTATGTGGAGGATAGAAGATTTGTTCAACCCAAGCATCTGAGCAACACCATCGACAAAATCATATGACTTATAGCAATGCATGCATGACCACAAAAGGTCTAATTGCATAGGAATGACACCACACCCCGTGGAGAAATCTAGATCCATTATGACATACACGCCACAAGGCCAATGAAAATCTAGATTGTCTCTAAAGGATCACGAAAAAAAACCCAATTGTATATGTCTGGTAGGACCATAGGAGAACCTCGTATCACGGCCAAGGAGGCAAAGCCTGACTTGTTTATTATGTCGTGCTCCATAGTTTTTCTATCTATTCACTAATTTAAGGTATAACTTCTGTCACAAGTATGCAATGTGGCACACCATGCCAGGACAATTCTATGGCCTTCGAGCTGAAATGAGTATATGGGCTTCACCAAATATTGAAAATTCTCAAGAATCTGGAGCATCCATATAGATCTATTTTCAAGATGGAGGACACTACAGCTTAATTCAAGCCGGCTTCCACGTACAAACATATCACCTATCCTAGTAACCTCCAATTCTTTTAAATGAACTACTATTTCGTAATAAGGTTTTCCTTGCAGATTTCACCCTCTTTGTACCATAACAGAGATATCCGCTTCTTTACATATTGGGCCGTAAGTGTAATCAATGTCATTCAAACAACTTATATATTATTATTGTTCGTATATAGTCTAGATGTATTTTGTAATAGTTTGAGACATTATCAGACCAAGTATTAGTCTCTTTACATCGACAATAATGCATGTTCCCTTTTTTATTACATAGAAGGACTCGAGATCAAAGGGGTGCTACAACTTACAATGCAGAGGATTTGTTCCTACAAGTGGAGCTAAGCTAGTGCCGGGACAAGCCATTGCTCCTCCATCAATTTACGGCATACAAGATCACTACATCAGGCTTAGCCTCAACAAGGTGCAACATACTTCCTAGTCAACAAGATCACTATATAAGCTTATACATTTTCTACTATTTCTCGCGCGTTGCTGCAGGAATCTTGTCGAACGAAATGCATAAATAGATGTTATATAACATTTTCATTACAGTTAACAGAATGCCTTGTTTCTAACAAAAAAAAATGTGAAACATGAATTACATATGTATTCTCAGAGTGGCCAACACATATAACACTAGTGAAAACCCAAACATTTATGCAAAAAATGGCAAACTATGAGGGACATGCATGACTTGCTGATTTGGCAGGGATGCAAGGGTTCAAAAAATAAATACTATGAAAAATATAACTTTTTCCTATCACACATGACTTTCTAATGTGGCATGGTTGCACCTATACAGTAAAAGTAGCGCAAAAAAACTTAGAACTACTACACATGACTTGCTAATGTGGCAGTGGCAACATGAATAGGAAAAATAGGGTGGCTTGCAACTATTTAAGAATGCAAAATTAAAATTAACAAAGAAAGATTTCAGTGCTATGGTATTATATTATAAAAATATGGAACTTTAGGTTCTGGGAAACTATATGTCACCCAAGATTTTTGCTAATTAAAACTTGCTTATACTCTTCTTGTGCATGAAACTTTCATCTATTTCACCGGTCCCTCATTGACTACAGGATCCAAATTCTGGAGATTGGGTGGTGTACCGTCATGATTTAGAAACACCGTCATTCTTGGGACATTTTCCAAAGGAGCTTTGCCCTGAGACACCACGTATACAAGCATTGACCGGATTCATGAATTACTTAAAGAATGCACATGGTCCACCGATGGGTAGTGGACACTTCCCCGATTATAATGAGAAGAAATCTGCCTACTTCAATCATGTTAAGAAATACAACTCAAAGGGTCAAGCTTTTGACCCCCGTTACACTGGGATGGTCAAGTTAGTTGATAGGAAAGATTGTTATGATACAAATGATTTATTTCTTGAATTTAAGAAGGGTTATACATTCAACTATGGTGGACCAGGTGGTTGTGTTGGTTGAAAGCAAAAGTTGTATTGTAATTTGGACTGAATAAATAGAAAATTATGAATTTGTCAAACTGTAACATGGTAAGGATGGTAACCATCATGTCTCTAGTTTATTAATGGTTTGTTTTTGCCGCCCACTTAAGTCATTCCCATCACGAGGATTTGTGACGTGTGCGAGAACACAATAGTATGTTAAATCACTAAAATACCATATGACTGAACCTCTCTGGGCCCAATGGGCAATGGAACCTAAGTAAAAACCCACAGAATAAATGTGCATATTATCCGTATGATGAACTAGGAATCTACATGGGATAAGTGGGATGCTGCCAAATATTGAACACCAACTCAGGGCAAACTCCTGCCCCCCCCCCCCCAATGACAAACATACCAATATGGATGCCACCGTGTCAGGGAGATACAAGGACAGCGGTCTTTAAGTCGGGCTATGTACCACTTTTGGGTTGCTATAAGGTGTGAGTCTATGGAACTTTGGGCCATGGTTGATTGCTTGGTTCGCGTGGATGGCGCCTACTTGGGCGATTTTAGAGTCATGGCGTTGTTTTGGTCACGTCATTATAAAGGATGTAATGGTCGTGCCGTTTCTGCCATTGTGCTTTGTTTGTATGAATACTTGCCATTACAAACACATGGACACACAGCTTACCCCTATGAGCACCACTAAGAGACTGGGCTAACAATTTTAAGATTGATGAAGTCATCACAGGCTTCTTGTAGTCGATGAAAACATCATTTCACTTAATGAACGACATCGTTGGAAAAGGCTAAAATAAATCCAGAAAAATGCCAGAGCTCGCACCAGCTCTAAAACTTAATCATCTTTGGACGACTAGAAAGCACAAAAAACCTGAGCATTTCACGCTCTCAGGTAGCTAGGCTTAGTTTGCGCGGTGGCTTTGGTGATAGACTTCATGCGAAGCTCCGTGAATGGTTGATGTTTGGTACGTACAACCACACGCATGTATTTGTGTATGTATGTGGTTTGTATACACATGATTAGTACATCAAGGCAGGTGCGCCACATGGAGTCGTGTCCGTCCTCGCCTATTTTCCTGTCTCCTCGTCTTATCTATTTACTCCCTCTCTTAACAAATATAAGAGTGTTTAGATCACTAAAATAGTGATAAAAGAATCTTATATTTCTTTGCAAACTGAAACCTGTTAGGTATTCCAATCATTTGGGCCAAAAGACCCATTGAAATACCAACTTGTGGTTGATAAAAGAAGGAAAGGTTACGATGGTGCCTACGAAAAATTGGAAAATTGTATTCCCCATCCCTTTACGGGGAACACTTCACATTTGGTATGAAACACACACCCCTTTTTGGCCAAAAAATTTATTGACAATTGTTTCTACTCCCTCTGTCCCATAATATAAGAATGCGCTCTTATGTAAACATTTTCTAAACTAGATGATACCCTGCTGGGTGCTGCAGGAATTGGTTGATAAAAATTTGGGCTCATAAGTAGAGCCAAAATTAAAACTACGTACAACTTATTATATTTGATTATGTATAATTGTAAAAGTATTTATTGAATATAAGTAGAATAATTGAGTGGGAAATATTTTCCCATGCATGGTTGAATGTTGTGCTGACTCTTTCCTATGCAGGATTGCATGTTGAGGTAGACCTTATCACATTCATGGTTGTATGATGAGGATGCTTGCATGTTAAGATAAATAAGTTAGTTGAGAGGACTCTCTTAGGTATGTAGGGTTCGTGGTTTTTTTTCTTCTAAAAATTCATATATTTTACAAATGTGTGTACTTTTTTCAGATTCATGATTTTTTAAAATTTGGGATTTATATAAATTATTTATCATTTTTTAGAACTATGAACTATTTTGTAAATTGGAAATATTTTACAAATTTAAATAGTTTTTAGAAGTCATCAAAACTTTTGAAATTTTCATGATCGTTTTTAATAATTAGCAAATATTTTTTTAATTTGTGAATATTTTTCTTAAAATTCAAGAACATTTCTATAAAATGCATGACCATATTAAGAATTCCTGGTTATTTTTCTGATTTAATGAATTTTTTTAATCCGTTTCATTTTTTAGCATGTTAGAAATCTTCAAACTCGAAATCTTTTTCAATATAGTGAACTCTTGAAAAAAATCATTTTTAAATGCATAAATATTAAAAGAAAACAATGTTTTTTTACAGTTGTAAAAAACTGTTTCTAAATGCATGCCTATTAAATTCTGAATTAATGAATAGTACTTTAAATGTCTTTCCTAAGTTGTCAAAAAGAATGTTTTTAAGATGAAGTGAATACGTAGTGGACGACGGCTGTCCCAGCGAGCAAGTTAACACATACGTACATGTAAGGCTAGCCATAGTGGGGATAATATAAGTAACTAGATCGGGTTCGCGCCTTGGCGCAAGGGTGCCGGTCACAACGTTTTGACAAAGCATATAACAATTTGTTGGTAGGAACCCAGGTATAGCATGTGCTAGCAACCAATTGTGTTAGAAGCAAAACATAATGGAAGAATCAAACTCGGTGCTTTCATACGACCAGAGACAAAACACAGGACCATACATTACTTACGAGGGTGCCGGTTCCAACATTTTGTTCAAGCAGGTAATGCAATAAGTTAGTGGAATCCAGGTTTAGCATCAAGTTACACTGACTGTGACATAAGCAGAAATGGACCACACTATATTCTTTACACACTTTCTTCTCTTGCTGTCACACTAAAGGAAGAGAATTCCGTGATGCGATGGTCATTTAGACCAAAAATGCTAAAACCTAAAGAAACAAAAACAAACTTAACCACTATCTCAATACCTGTAAATAAACCAGAGCATGACTGCATGTCACCATGCTTGGCTCCAGCTCTTCAACTTTATATTCAACTTCTTTTAAATTTCATATCACTGCACCATTCCCAGCTTATCCTCTTACTCTGTTTTGATTGACGCCTTGAGCTTCAGCCTACAAAGGCAAAAAGGAAGTTGTTAACTGAAAGTCCAAGCTAATCAAAGTTCTGAAGCAAACTTACAAAGCAATGTAAGTTAAGAGTAACTTTGATCAGCCAACATAAGGTCCCCTTTGTTAATCTCATAGCCAACAAAATAAAAGTATAACCATATTTTCTGAACCATCATAAAAACATCTCAAATCTTGAATAGTTCCTGTTATTTTAGGGCAAATTATATATGTGCATTCTTCAGATTTCAGCATGGCATTCTTCTACCAAGATCCCAGCCATCTTCTCACAAAAAAATATTTTATGGCAGATCATCAAGCTCACCTATACAACTTAAACTTTCAGAAACAAACTTACTTTAATGATAAGAATGTTTTTGTCACCCAATCAAAAAGGCTATGGTCACAAAACATGGAAGAATCGATGTGGTTAAAATTTATCCCGTTGAATCAGCTGCCCAACGCATACATAGAACTGTGGCAAGGAAAAAATAAAACACGATGGACATAGTGAGAAGCCTCTACATCACCATCCATGCATCCTGTGTTCCCAGCCTCGCCTCAACTATAACCCTTTTGTACTTCTCCCACTAAAGATGTATGGCATTTGAAATAAAAAGTCAAATTTATGTAAAGAAGAGAATGTTTTACAGCTAGATGATCAGAACTCTTCCTAATCTAGCAACCAATTTGTCTAACCTAACCCTGTCCTCATGGCTGAAGAGATGATTAGAACATGGTCATCGTAGATCCAGAAATAAATGCTAGGAAATTAGCACTTTAACCTGCCATCTCTCAGTTTTTGATATGAGGTCTGTATCATATAAAATTGCATTGCACAAAAAACTTGTTTCCAATCTGCCAGAACACTGAGTTCACACATTCAGTTCCAAATTCAATTTGACAAAACAGCGGAATAAGAAGACAGACACCGTGTGGTGGCGGCCACCGTCCTCCGCCTTAGCATGGCCTGGCCATATATGATTGCTCCTTGGCAATATACCTCTTTAGCCTAAAGATTTTCAATGATCTTAAAGGATCCAAATCTCTAATAAGCTTGCCACGGTTCCAGAGTACTTGATAGGAAAATGTCCTTCATTTCACTCCTGTTATTTTTATTTTTTTGAAAAACTCACTTGTTATAACTTCTTCTCATCATAGAAAGTTGCTCAAAACAGGTAAAAAATCCATTTCAGATTAATAACGCGCCAGGTGATTTTTTGCATGAAAAGAATAATCTAATCACCTTGCAGGAGTAATAACATGCAATCAGTACAGCTAGATTGCAAGAAATGTACTGTCAAAAAGAAAGAATGTGAGAGAAAAAACCCGTGTGGCTGCTGGGATTCAAGCCCAGGTCTCCATGGCCACAACGTGGAATTCTCACCACTAAACTACAGCAACAATGATGCTCAATTTGAGCTGCCAAGCCACAAGTACGAAAATATCTCCTTCGGGACCTTCTGTCCCCGACTTTTTCTGTTATGTTCTTAGTCCATCTACTATAGTCCAGTTAATTACTGCATGCTCATTTCCACTAAATGTGAATATAAATGTAACATTGAGCACATGATATATCTCGGGGTCTGGGCTAACACGTCTAAATCCTAGGTAGTCATCCAGGTCTCCTATAAAATTAGGAACAATAAGAGTAGAAAACACCAAGATTTCTATGATTTTTTTAACTTGAGCATCAAATGTTCATGCAAAAGATAAGATAATAGTAGTAAGGATCGACATATTTCCAATAGAACTCACCTTCTAAATTTTCATATCCGCATCACATACTGAGAACCACCGAGGGGCCAACAATGCTGGATCAAATAGGTAGACATGGATCATATCCGCAAGATCTACATTACAAAGTAAGAAAAAGAGTAAGAAAAAAGCTGACCTTGCCGAAGAGAAGGGAGGACGCACTGCCATCGGAGTGAGTTGGAAGGGAGAGCAGCCGAGCTTATCTAGCAGCAGGTGGATCTATCTGCCTCACACCAATAGGAAGAGAGAAGCGCTACATTCATAAATCTAGTGGAAACAATGATTCTCAAATAAG